GCGGTGGGCAGCGGGGGACTGGCGCGGGGGTGGAGGGTTGCGTCCTGGGGCCCGTGCTCCCGCCCTCGGGTCTGAGTCTGTCTTCCACCACCCCAGCCTTTGGGCCCTGGTGGGAGGCGGCGGGCTTGAGAGGGTCCGCAGGCCCCCACCCCTGCCACGCAGATGCCCCAGGGTGCAGGTGTGCAATGGTGGGACCCCAGTCTGCACTAGGAAGGTACACAGCTGAAAAAGCGATCACCTGTGGGAGGTTAGTTGCAGGTAATTTTTTGTTTTGTTTTTACTTTGTTTTTTTCTGTGCATTCCACGTGTTCCTCATTGATCTGGGTGACTTTCGAAATGATGGAGAATAAACATTTTTATTGAGGTATAAGCTACACACTGCAAAACGTGCAGTTCAATGAGTTTTGACAAATGCATACCCCCAGGTAATGTCTACCATAGTCAATTGTAGAACATTTCCATCGGAGGCAGCCACTCTTCTGATTCCAATATCGCCATATCTTAGTTTTGTCTCTTCTGGAATATCACACAAATAGCGTTGTGCAAAATATACCTTCGTGATGGCTTTCCTTTAACGTGATGTCTCTGAGATTCAGCCACATTGCACGTATCCGTAACGGGTTCCTTTTTATTGCCGAGCAGTGTGCCATGGAAAACACACCACATTCCTTCATTTATTCACACTTTGGACACTGGGGTCATGTCAGTTTTGGCTAGTATGAGTAACGCTATCTTGAAAGGTCTTTGTGTAGGCATATTTTTTCTTCCTCTTAGGTGATTACCTAGAAGTGAAATTTCTGGGTCCTGGGTAGGTGGGTATGGAACATTATTAAAACATGCTAAGTGGTCGAGCGCAGTGACTCACGCCTGTAATCCCAACACTTTGGAAGGCCGGGGCAGGCGGATCACCAGAGGTCAGGAGTTCAAGACCAGCCTGGCCAACGTGGCGAAACCTCATCTCTACTAAAAATACAAAAATTAGCTGGGCTTGGGGGCGCACACCTGTAATCCCAGCTACTCAGGAGGCTGAAGCAGAATTGCTTGAACCCTGGAGGTGGAGGTTGCAGTGAGCTGAGATTGCGCCACTGCACTCCAGCCTGGGCGACAGAGCGCGACTGCATCTCAAAACAACAACAACAACAAAAAAGATGGTAAGCATTTCACGCTTCCGCCAGCGATGTGTGAGGTCCAGCTGCTCTGCGTGTCTGTCAACACTGGGTTTTGTTGGTCTTTTGACGGCAGCAGGACTTGTGGGTACAAAATGGTGTCTCAATGCCATTTATTTGCCCTCAGGAGGGAGTCACCAGTTCTTACAGTAAGAAACCACTGGTGTGCACAGAAAGGAGAGGGCCAAGGTGATGTGCACAGGCACATCTACCAGCAGCATCGACACAAGTGGCAGTTGGAACAGTGTAGATTTCAGCACCGGATCTCATGGTCAGGACTGTGTGGGTGCCATGAGTTCAGAGAGTGGGAGCCATGTCCTGGATTAGTCACAGTGGGCCGCCTGGAAGCGGTGGACTGTGAAGGTTGAGAAGCTGAGAAGGAGGAGAGGAAAAGGGAAGGCAGTCTTGGAAGGGGCACAGTTGGGGCCAACATCTGGCATTGGGTGACCAGTGGAAGCTGAACTTGCAGTTTTCTGATTGTAAAGCCAGTAGTCAGAGTGCTGCCTCATCAACCAGGCCCACCCAGACTCTGGGAGGTCTGGGGCTACCTCCACCCCTAGAGCAAGGCCCCAGTTCCTACAGCTCAGATCAGAGGCGTGGCCCTTCCAAGGACAGGGTAGCTCCTGCCTCACAGCATCCACAGCAGCCTCGCCTCTCCCTGCAATCCCTGGCTCGCAGTGGCCAACTCACAGCGGGGCCAAAGCTCACTCGGTGGCGGGATCTGGCAATGGAGTGGGGAATGGTGCGGAACCTGCAGCTGCAAATTGAAAACATTCTATTTTCCCATCTAAAATATTTAGATAATTTGTTTTTCTTCTAGAACTGCCAGCAGTCCATTAATTTTCAGTTATAGTAATGTGATCATCTCTGTGCTTTCCTCCCTGAGGCTCTTGAAGGTCTTGATGTGAATAAAATCAAACAATAATACAAAAACAGTGAAATGAGAACTTCTGAGTAAATGGCTGTGCAGAGCTGCCTGGGCCACAGGCAGGTGAGCAGGAATGAAGCTGCTGTGAGCCAGGCAGGAGTCCAGGTCACCTGTGAAGTCGTGGGACCTGTGGCAAAGCACTGCCTTTCCCTGGACTCAGGTCACCCATCTGTGGAACAAGGTCCCTAGACCCAGGTCACCCATCTGTGGAACAAGGCCTCCAATTTCCCTTTCAAGCCTACACTGGCTGAGCACTTGCCAGAATCGCAGCCCTGGGCTCGATGAAGAAGAGCACATTTAAACCACACAACCATGCACTCTGATATGAACCCATTGTTCAGACGAGGAAACCGGGGCACAGTACAATAACTTGCCCAAAGTGAAAAAGATGGTAAGTGGTGGAGCGAAGCTTTGCACCCAGAAGTCTGTAATGCCCTTTTTGGAAGGAGAAGGGTGTGTGGAGCCAGCTGTCCACTAGGCCAGGGCCAGGCGAGCCCTGTGATGGGGAGATACAGCGTCAGTTCCGGGGTGAGGACCACAGAGGTTTCGTTCTAAACACAAGGAACAGAGAAAGTGGGCAGGGCCTTGAGCACAGGTCCTCTGTGACCCTGTGTGGGCCTCACAGCCAGTCAGCCTTGTCCACAGCGTCCAGCCAGCTCCCAGCAGGGGTGGCAGAACCTGAGAAGCAGCTAGAGCTACCCAAGGCTGGGGTGTGTGCACACACGTATGTGCAGTGTGTGTGTATGTGCATGTACGTGTGTGTGCGTGTATTTCTGTGCATGGGTACTGCATGTATGGGTACATGCCTTCAGGCTCATCAGCTTAGGGTCACCATACTGGGTCAGTTATGGAGCATCCCCAAGGGCAGCCGCCCTCCTAGGGCTTCCTTGCAAGGCAGGTCCCGCTGCATCCACACGTTGCATAGCTGCCAAGGCTGGGGATCAGGCTATGGAGAGACATGTCCAAAGTCCCACAGTGGGTGGCAGCAGCACACAGATGGGGCCCCAGGCCACCCCCACCCCAGAGGCCCCGGGCAGCCTTGCTGGAATGCCTCCAGCATAGCCAGAGGGTCAGGGGCCCCAGGCACCATGTCCCTTCCTGCCTGATCCGCCCTCCACGGGGCCCCTGCGTGGTCACAGCACCTCCCACTCCAGCAATTTGTGCAGCTCTTGGGAAGCCCCAGTGTCTGCATCTAAGGAGTGGCCGGGAGCCTCCTGCATGGCAGGACCAACGGGCGTCTCGAAATGACTTTTGGTCTCGTCAACTGTCCAGGGCTCCAGGCCCCCATGAGAGGCGCATCTGGCCTTAGTGTCACCAGAGCCCTTAGTCTCCCCTGGACTCTGAGCTCACCTTGAAAACTAAGGCTCAGCCCAGCAGACATGGCCATGCACCCGGCTGAGAGCCCCTCCCAGCTCAGATCCATCCTGCGTCCCCGCCCACCTTTCTCCAGGGAGCACGCCTCAATGTCAGGGAGCACGCCTGAATGCCGGGGAGCACGCCTGAATGCCGGGGAGCCCGCCTGAATGCCGGGGAGCACGCCTGAATGTCGGGGAGCCCGCCTGAATGTCAGTATTCCTCTAAATTCCCATGTTGAAATCCCAACCGCCAATGTGATGGTTTCAGGAGATGAGGCCTTTGGGAGGTGATGAGGTCTCAAAGGCAGACCCCTCATGAATGGGATGAGTGCCCTCATAAAAGGGACCCCAGAGAGACCCAACCCCTTTTCCCATGCAAGGACACAGAAAGGAGGTGTCAGCTCTTAGGCAGCAGCCCCTCATCCAGCCCAGAATATTCCCATGCCTTGATCTTGAACTTCCAGCCTCCAGAACTGTGAGAAATGAATTTCTGTTGTTTATAAGCCACACAGTCTACTGGATTTTGTTACAGCAGCCCGAGCAGATTAAAACAAGCACCTCCCAAAGAATCACTGGCACAGCAATCCCTGTCTTCAGCCTCCAGGGAACCTGACCTACGACAGCAGCCCTCCCAGCTG